CAGGGTGTTCAACTCCCAACGGGTTAATGCGCTCCCGTGGGACGGGTTTGACGTCCAACGGGTTTGACGTCCAACGGGTTTGACGTCCAACGGGTTTGACGTCCAACGGGTTGGGTCCAGCGGGTTCGACTTCCTCATCCAACGGGTTCGACATCCAACGGGTTTGGGTCCAGCGTGTTCAACTCCCAACGGGTTAATGCGCTCCTGGGACGGGTTTGACGTCCAACGGGTTTGACGTCCAACGGGTTTGACGTCCAACGGGTTTGACGTCTAACGGGTTTGACGTCCAACGGGTTTGACGTCCAACGGGTTTGACGTCCAACGGGTTTGACGTCCAACGGGTTTGACGTCCAACGGGTTTGACGTCCAACGGGTTTGACGTCCAACGGGTTGGGTCCAGCGGGTTCGACTTCCTCATCCAACGGGTTCGACATCCAACGGGTTTGGGTCCAGCGTGTTCAACTCCAAACGGGTTAATGCGCTCCTGGGACGGGTTTGACGTCCAACGGGTTGGGTCCAGCGTGTTCAACTCCCAACGGGTTAATGCGCTCCTGGGACGGGTTTGACGTCCAACGTGTTTGGGTCCAGCGTGTTCGACTCCCAACGGGTTAATGCGCTCCTGGACGGGTTTGACGTCCAACGGGTTGGGTCCAGCGTGTTCTACTCCCAACGGGTTAATGGGCTCCTGGGACGGGTTTGACGGCCAACGGGTTTGGGTCCAGCGTGTTCAATTTACAACGGGGTGATGGGTTCATCCAACGTGCTCAGACCCAATGGGTTAAGGCGCTCCTTGGACGTCTTCGACAACCAACGGGTTTGGGACCACCGTGTTCGACTCGCATGGGATTACTTCGCTGCCGGGACGTGTTTGACGTCCAACGGGTTTGGGTCCACGGGTTGTACCACGAGTGTTCGACTTTCTTCATCGAATGAGCTCGACATGCCACGGGTTGGAGCCGAGCGTGTTATAACTCACAACGGCTTACCGGACTCATGTGAACGGAGTTGACGCTCCACAGGTGTAGGAACCATGAATGCTATATATTCTATGTCATCTCGCGATACTCTGACGAGATTGACTGCCAAAGTGATGAATCCAGCGTGGTTTATTTCCTATCTGCTCAGCCTCCATGCCTGG